AATTAAAGACAAATGATAAAGTGATTTGTGCAAGCTAGGAACAATCCGCATATTAATATTGACGCCGATGGTATCCTGTGGGGTGACAGAGGACTGCAGTCTTCACAACTGAGGAGGCTGAGGCAGGAGGACTGCTTGAGTTCAGGAGTTGAAAAGTAGACTGGAAAACACAGGGAGATCCAGTCTCAAAAAAAAAAAAATGATTGTATTGATTAAGAGAATTTGTCAGATTTGAGGAACTGATATCAATCTGTGATACCAAATTAAAATATGAATTGTCTAGTTATATATCTTTAGTTGGAAAGTATGATAAATTTTTTTTTGGTCTTTTTGAGACAGGGTCTCCCTGTAGCCCCAGCTGTCCTGGAACTCACTTTGTAGACCAGGCTGGCCTTGAACTCACAGAGATCCGCCTGCCTCTGCCTCCCAAGTGCTGGGATTAAAGGTGTGTGCCACCACGCCTGGCTGAAAGTATGGTAATTTTACAAAATTATAGAATATTTATGAGGATTTGAGTGTTACTATATTTGTAAGTTAAATTAGTTAGACTTCAATGGGACAACTTAAAAGTACTTTGAGGGCCAGTAAGAGAACCTGCTGCCAAGCCTGACACCTTGACTTTGATCCCTGCAACCTACATGATGGGAGGAAAGAACTGACTCTGTTGTCACTTGTCCTCTGTACACTGATGTGCACATGCACGTGCATATACATACACAAATTTTAAATGTAAAATATCGTTACTGTATTCAACTTATGAGTAAAATGTTATCAGAGAATTAAGGGAAACAATTTTAAAATGTGTCATTAATAAAAATGTTAATTGATGGGAGAGGGTTGAAACAGGATCTCATGTGGCCCTGGCCTGGAACTCCTGATCTTCCTGCCTTCTTCCAGGTGCTGGCAATTTTGGAGGTATGGGTCACCACCTTCAGCTAAATGCTAATTTAAAAAATAGTTTAGCATACATGGACTTTAGACTTCTGTCCAGTAAAGTTTGCTGCATCTTTTGGCTTTGAGTGATAATATGTGGAATAAATGGATAGTGTGAAGAAAAGGCAAGACCATGGTCCATTCCCATCATCAGCCTCTGCAGTGATGGATGAGCTGTACATCTTTGAGGGCCAGGTGGCAGGGATACCAGACAGACCCTGAGGCCTAACTGAGAATTAAGAAGTGTTAATAAGGGGTTGGAGAGATGGCTCAGTAGTTAAGTCACTGACTGCTTTTGCAGAGGACACAAGTTGGGTTCCCAGCACCCACATGGCAGCTAACAACTGACTAAGACTCCAGTTCCAGGGGTTCTGATGCTCTTTTCTGGCCTCCATGGACACTGCATGCACATGGCGCACTTACATACATGCAAGCAAGACACTAATACATGTAAAATAATAAAAAATTTAAAAAGAAGTGTTAATAAACTTACAAGAATGTTTTAGAAAGAATATAAAATGTCCACTTTCAAGCTGAACTTAGTGGCATACGCCTTTAATCCCAGCACTTGGAAGGCAGAGGCAGGTGGATATCTGAGTTTGAGGTCAGCCTGGTCTACATAGTGAGTTCCTGTCAACCAGGACAACATAGTGAGATCATGTCTCAACAAAAGAAAAAAAATCCATTCTCCAAAACACACATACTATAGAAGCTAATTATTAAGCAGGGGAGGGACACAGGCTGATTGTATGTATGTATGTGTGTGTATGTGTGTGTGTGTGTGTGTGTGTGTACAGTGTCTGTGTAAACATAAGTCTATTCTGACTGTATCAAAGAGCAGAATGCTACGGAGCATCTCAGCACTGGCTGCTCCCCAGGCCCCAGTCCATGCTCACAGGGTTATGGAACAAGCAATACCTGGTCACCTGTGCATGCATAGGAGTTTCTGTCACAGCATGAGACCTGGAGTTTAGATAGGGCAGCTGGTATATCTGCCCTTCCTCCCCTCTGGTGAGGGAGGACCCTTACTCCCCAGAGAGGAGAATGGTAGGTCCTTATTTTTCAATCCTGGAACATTAAGCTAGGTCTCTAGGGGAGAGAGGAGAGTGTTTGGTTGCCTCCAGTGTATGAACAAATGGCACTAAGGAGGACGTCTCTAAATCTCTAAAGCAATTCACTTTCTGGTTTCCAAAAATCATTTTTCAGTCATAAAGTTTACATCATGTGGAAAAGATGAAAATATTCATGGAAAATTCTTCAACAGGGAAAGGCAGACTCAAGGGTCATATCCCTCCAGGCACTGGAACTGTGTTCTTTTACCTACAGCCTTCACTATCAATAGTGTCTTGTCATTGGAATCTCTATCACAGAACATCTAGCATAGCACCTGACAAATAATAAGGAGTCGATGCATATTTCCTGAACGAATCGAATGTTTAAGGGACGAGCTATCCAGTAAAATCCTTTTTTGTGTGATGAATCTTCTTTCTTTAGTACTCTGTCCAAAGTCTTTCTCAATTTTGAGCTCTTGAAACTCCAAATATATTCACAGGCACCAGGTTTGAGGATGCCCAAATAACCACTGGAAACCATGTGCCTCTATTTGGTTCTAAGGTGGTTTTCCACAGAGGGGCAGTAAATGGTTTAAAACAGGTCCTGATCTGAATCCCACTGCCTGTCTTCCTATTTCTTAGAATATACAATGACACAATTTTTCAAAAATTTATAGGAAAATTGTGGAGTTCCTGAGGGTTTTATTATTTTATTATTTTTATTTTATGAGGGTATTGCCTGCATGTGTGCAAATGCACCCGTGTCATGCAGTGCCCACAGAGGTTGGAAGAGAGTGTTGGATCCCCTGAAATTGGAGTTACAGATGGCGGTTAGCCGCCATGTGGGTGCTGGGAATTGAACCTGGGTCCATTGCAAAAGCATCCAGTGCTCTTAAGGACTGAGCTATCTCCCCAGCCCCCTGAAGGTTTTTTAAATGGGCTATATTATCTGGTTACTACATGACTCAAAAGCTGTGTTTGCTGTGCAGCCTATATCTTGAATAGGAAGGTAATATTTTGCCATGCTGGATTTTTTTTTTTAAACATAGTCTTATCAGTCTTCTCTGGCTTCTAAGTTTTGCACTGTGCTTAAAATGAGTTTTCTGTTTATAAAATAATAAATTGAGCCATGTTTTCTTCTAGTACTTTTATTACATTGTTCAGATTGTTGATCCATATGGAGTTTATTTTGGTATAAGGTGTGAAGTATGGTTCCAAATTATTTTTCTTCCAGTTGGTTACCTAGTCATTCCAGCACCACTCACTGAACTCATTTCTCTCACTTGAAATGGCACCTTCAGGAGGCTCAGAATTCGTATGGGATGTGAAAGACTAAAAGGTGTTTTGCTCTGATTTGACTGGTCTTCATATGCACCTTTTAACCCCCTCGGTGTTGTGGTTGTTTTAGAACATTTTAAAAGTTGCATATAGCAACTAGCATGATATCCTAAGATTTTATCCTCACTTCATGAATCTGTCATCACCCAGCTCGTTTATGTTTCTTTAAGTGTACGGCACACAACCTTCAAATATTATGAACGTTTTTCTCCCAGCTGTCACTACACCACACGACATATGTTAGACTTTCCTAAATTGTCTTGCTGCGCTCTTTGCAGCCCTTCTGGATACTGTTGATCCTTCATCTAACAAGGTGCTCAAAAGAGACTACAAGTATTTTAGGTGGGCTCCGAATCCACAGTCATCACTGTCCAGTTCCTTCTTAGGACATTAATTTCCACTTAAGGACACGCAACGTTTCTGGAAAATAATAGATTTTGAAGAGCTATAGCAGTTGTTGGCTCTTTAAGCAATCCACGGGGGAAGGGAGTGTCCCACAAAATGTCAGCTACAACTGTGGAGACTGGGGAGGAGGGAATTCCATCAAAATGGTTCAGAAAAAAATAGGTGCCCTTACTACTGGGCACTGTTTGCACAAATACTCTCACCCAGGATGCTTCCAGGCCACCTCAGTAGATGCTCTGTCAAACGTTTCATGACTCTCTACAGTCAGTTTCCATTTAAGGAGCGAAAGAGGCAGAAGCCAAAGCCGCAAGAGATGGCCCTGCTGGCATGATAGCTGGCCTCAAGTTTTCTATTTAAAACAGAACCAAATTCTGTTGTTTCTGTAGTCTATTTAAACCTTCACGTTAGGTCAAGGAAAATTACTCTCCATCCTGAATGAGCCCTTGGTATTTTAATCACAGATGAGAGTAGCAAATGCTGAGTCAGGAGAGGGAAACTGGGAATTCTGAGGTATAAAAGCCTGGAATGAAGGAAACGCTGGCATTCGGGGAGAAAGGACCCCTATTTCCACCTCCTAATCCCGGATCCTGAATCTCCAGCCCAGGTCGGCAACCTTGGCTCAACACCTCTCCCCAGGCCCCAGGTCTCCTACGGCCCAGCTCAGAGTCGACTCGGGGAGGACTCACAGCCTGAGTCCCAGGGACAACCCGCACTTCTTCCTACACAACAAGCTTGCTCCACCACGGCCCTCCCGCCTCGGACTCCGGCGGGCTCTTCCGCGCCCCGCCCCAGGGTTTAGCTCCGCCCCTCGTTCTATGCCACGCCCCCAGGGGGGTTCGCTCTGCCCCTGGCTTTGCAGTCCGCCCGGCGTTCTGGGCGCGCCCTTCACTCTGCGTTCGGTCTCACGGCCCTCGCCTTGGCTCTGCGCCCTGCTCCACGGTTTTAGCTCCGCCCCTCTCTTTGCGGCCCACCCCTCTCTCTGGGTCCGGCCCTCTCTCTGCACCCCGCCCCAGGGTTTTCGCCCCGCCCCTCGAGCTACGTCCCGCCCCAGAATTTTCGCCCCGCCCTTTGCTCTGCACCCAGTCCCAAAGTTTAGCTCCGCCCCTCGCGCTACGTCCGGCTCCAGAGCTTTAGCTCCGCCTCTCGCGCTGCGCCCCGCCCTACGGCCTCGCTTAGTCCACAGCAGTCGCGCGCTGTCCTGCTGTCCTCGTTTGGCGCCAGATCCTTTCGACGCCTGAGTCGTCAGTGTCTGCGTTCTGAGTCCCAGTTAGAATCCTGATCTGAGGCCTGAAGGCACGAGTGGGAGTCATAAGGGGTCAGCTTGAAAGTCTCGGGGAGGCTGTAGTTTCCGGGGACCGTGAGTGGCGAAAAGGGGGCGCGCGAAGAATCAGAAGTGTGGAGAAGTCGGTGTCTGTGCCTCTCTGTGGTGACTTTCGGCGTCGCTGACTGGGGTAACTGCCGGCCGGCTGAGGCCGGAATCGAGGCCTGGTTAGAGCCCGTCGACTTCAGTCTTGAAGTAGAGCGGAATCCAGCGCCAGGAGCGTGTGGACCTCTGCTTGGCCTGACTAGTGGGCGTAGGGCGGTGCTCCCTGCGGTTCCCCGCCGCCTCCGCCAGCACCTCTGGGCCTGCTTTAGTCCCAGGACTTGACCGCGAGAAGGCCTTTCGGGTACTCTCAGGAGGAAACGGCCGATAGGTTTACTTCTTCCAGGTCAGGTATCCTGTGGAACTGGGGTAATCAGCTGTTTAAAGAGCAGTATCCCAGAGCTGCAATCCCCGCATTGCCGAGGTGGATCCAGGGAGGATCCGGAGTTCAAGGTCATCCCAGGCCAGCGTTGGCTATGGAAGACACACACACAATACACAGAGAATCTGGAGTACAAGGTCATCCCAAGCCAGCGTGTGCAATCGAAGACAAACACACACAGATCAGGAGCTCAAGGTCATCCCAGACCAGCGTGGGCTATGGAAGACACACAATACACACAGAGATCAGGAGTTCAAGGTCATCCCAGGCTAGCATGGGCTTTGGAAGACACACAGACACACACACATATGCTCTTGTGGACATTGTACTCCATGCTTGCAATCCCAGTCCTCAGGGGGCAGAGGCAGGAGAATCACTGCAACCTTGAAGTCAGTCTAGTCTACACAGGGAGTACCAGGCCAGCCAGGGCTATAAGACTGTAAAAAGGAAACAGAAGAGCCTACTCTTTGTACCCAACTATTTGCTGCCTTAGTGGTTTGCTTGTTTGTACTGGGCTCCAACCCTTCACTTGAGTTATTAAAAGAGGAAATAGACCAAGAAAAATGATTATTCAGAACATATTTTATTGTAATTAACACAGCCAAGCCTGTAGGTTTAAACCTGAGGTTTAAAACAAAACAAAAAAAATTATGCAATGTTGCCAAGCTTGGTGGTGCGTGCCTTTAATCCCAGCATTCGGGAGGCAGAGGCAGGCAGATCTCTGTGAGTTCAAGGCCAGCCTGGTCTACATAGTTCCAGGACAGCTGGGGCTACAGGGAGACCCTGCCTCAAAAAAAAAAAAAAAAATTATGTAAAGACTACTTAGCTGCCATTAGCCCTAATCTTACAATTGGGTATATATTTTTAAAAAACCATGAAGCTAGTGTTAGTATTGTGAAACTAATGTTTTATGAAACAAAGATATATGTTACCAGCATACCAATTCACAATCAGCAAACAAGATAATATTCATATATGAGGAGAATAGACTCTTTTTTACCCAAGGTTACAGTAAGCTCGAAGTGCTAGGAAGGATACAGGAAGAATGACACAATGTCAAGGTTAAAGTGTTAAATTTGAAAGGTTAATAGCAATAGCTGCAAATAAAAATCAAAGGAAACAAGCTATTTTCAGAATTAACTACAGTAGGAAGTCAGAAGATGACAAAAAGTTAAACCAAGTGTGGTTGCATCCTGTAATTCCAGTACTTGGGTAGACAAGAGGATCAGCAGTTCAAGATCATCTTCAGCTACCTAGTATACTTGAGACCTTGTCTCAGAATAAAAAATGGTGGGGGGGTGGGGGAGCTGGAGAGGTAGTTTGGCAATTAAGAGCATTGGCTGCCCTTCCAAAAGACCTGGGTTTGAATCTCAGCACCCCTATGGTGGCTAACAACCATCCAAAACTCCAGTGCCAGGGAATTCAATGCCCTCCTCTGTCCTCTATGGGCACTGCAGGACATGGGTGCACCTACATACATGCAGGCATAACACACAGATAAAATTAATTAAAAAGCCTTAAGAAGATGATGATTCTACACACATGAAATAATATCACAACCTCAGCAGAAAGAAGATTGGTCAGCCAAGTCCTTCCATGCAAAATGTTTCTTATTGGCCTTCCTGACATTTGGTGACTTTGAGATTAAATCAGAAGCCTCTAAGCAAAAGAATTTTTACTACATGAACTATGACTACATCTTAAATAATATTTCTCATTTTCCCAGAACTGATTATTTTTTTGCTGCTCCCCTTTCAACATGAAGGAGGATCACATTGTGCAGGAAGAATCGGGATTCCAAGATGAGGAGGTATTATTAGCATGTTGAAAGTTATGACAACGTTCAGTCATTCCACTAAAACCAAGTTTCTTGTTTTTCAGCTACTGTTTTTAGAAACGTAAAGTAGAAATACGACATATATATGTAACAATTTCTTTGTCAAAGGGTGCTAAATTTAGCTATTTAGCAACTGGTATGAAAGTTTTTTGTTGCTTGTTTTGCAAAACGAGATCCAACCCAGTGCCTCTTTTGTGGTAGGCAAGGACTGTGCCACTGATCTACATTTCCACCCCCATTTGAAAATAGTTTAAGCCTGGTGTGGTGGCTCATGCCTTTAATCCCAGCACTCATGAAGCAGAGTCAGGTAGATCTCTGTGAGTTCAAGGCCAGCCTGGCCTACATAGCAAGTCCAGGCCAACAAGAGCTACCATAGCAAGACCCTGTCTAAAATAAGAAAAGTAGTTAAATAACAGCACACTGGTACTGAATAGCAGATAGCAACCTGGTCCTTAGAACAAGAATATCAAGATTTGGAGGGAAAGAAGGTTGAGAAAACATTTAAACAAAAACATTTGAAATAGTCCAATGTTCGTTCTTCCACTACTTGGAACGGGTTTTTTAAATCAGGGAAGTCAAGGCAAAGGCTACCCAGAACTTTCAGTGTTGGTACCTTTTAAAAATATGTCACAATATGTTTGAAAAAAACAGTGATCCCTCAAGACTTAGAGAAGTGGAATTGAAGTATTATGGGATGACTAATGAATTAGTCACTCTAAAAAATGTGAAACATTTATTTGTATATGAAAATCTAGATTCCATTCTTTCATTTCATCTCATTTAGGAATCTTTATTTCAAGACATTGACCTGTTACAGAAACATGGAATTGTAAGTAGTTTTTCAATGCAGTGTTAAACTGTACATTTCAGAATTTCTCAGTATCAGCCTTACTAAATTTGAAGCTCTGTAATTCTTTGTTCTGGGGTGGAGAAGGGGCTGTTTATGCATCTTAAGTTATGTAACAACATTCTTGGTATTTCAGAACAATCCAGTCCCTGTGTTGATAACTGGCCCCAAGGAGCCAGGAGATTGAAGCAGAGAAGCAGACAAATCCAAAGTTGTGCTGAATATAAATTATTTAGGGGAACTTACTGACAGAGTGTGGCCTTGGGAGGCAGCAAGACCAAGAAGAGCCCCACATGTTGAGTTAGAAGGATTAGGACAAAAGTGACTTCATCAGCCGGGCATGGTGGTGCTCGCCTTTAATCCCAGCGCTTGGGAGGCAGATGATCTTTGTGAGTTCGAGGCCAGCCTGGTCTACATATTGAGTTCCAGGACAACTGGGGCTACAAGGAGAGCCTGTCTCAAAAAGACCAAAGAAAAAAAAAAAAGAAAAAAAAAGTGACTTCATCAAAGCTGGAGTATGTCTGGTCTTAAGCTAATATCAAAGAAGCATACTCCAAGGTCCAGTTGTAAAACTACACATACCACTCTAACAGTTTGGTCTACTTATGGTAGGTATGTTTGGAAATTATGAAGGGGGAAGAAAAACTCTGGGCAGTCATAGCAGTTACAACTCAAGATATCTGTGCTCATAACAAGCTAAATTCATACACCTGGCCTCTACCCACACACTTAATGCCAATAGTACCAATAGTACTCTTCTGGTGGCAACCAAAAATGACTGTAGACACTGTCAAGTGTTCCCAGTGGTTGAGAACATTCCATTGAGGGTGTTCAGAGCTCCCTCTAAACTGCCTCCCGTTCATTATTTACCTAGATCTAACTTTAGATAGATAATGTGTTCACTTACATAAAATTCTGTTTGACAGATGACCAGAGTAAATCATGTTGGCAGAAATGCAGACATTGAACATCAAACTAGATGGATGTCAGCAGCAGCCATTGGTAGTAAAATCTGCTGAGGTCATCTTTTGAAGTCCTCATATTTAATCTCTTTCCATTGATCTTAGAAAACAGAAGCAAGAGAAAATCCTGGTCTTTTGGTGATGCAGTTATTTGTATTCTCCAGGGGTAGAAGGGGAAAAACTTTGAAAAAAGTTTAGAGAACATATTGGTAATGAAGTTCTGCAGAAAGGAGCTGAACTGAGGGGGTGAATGTGTGATAAATTTGTTAGCTCTTCCACCAACAGACTTTTCTTTTGAAGTCCTTTTTACATTGCCATAGTCTCGTTAACGTTCTTGGGAAAATCAGGGCACAGCCAGAACATTTGGCTGCCTGCTGGGGATGTTCTACTCAGATATTTCCAGAACATTTGGCTATGTGGTGGGTGGGTTCCACCTGGTTGCTTGTATAAAATAGGCATCATGATGGAGGGAGATGGACATGACATAGTATAGGAGCCTCCAGGCTGGCATTTTATCAATCTGCTACGCCCATGCTTTTATTGACAGAACGTGGCTGACATTAAGAAACTGAAGTCAGTAGGAATCTGTACCATTAAAGGGATACAAATGACAACGAGAAGAGCCCTCTGCAATGTCAAGGGGCTCTCAGAAGCCAAAGTGGACAAGATTAAAGAGGCAGCCAACAAACTTATTGTAAGCAAAATCCATTCTTTGCTGTTTTAGCTTAAAAGTCTTGTGAGTCTTTGTAGCCTTTCTCATTATGGACTTTGGAAACTTGCAAAAACTAAGTTCCTATAGATCACTGTATATCACACTCCCCATGTTAATTTATTATTTCAATCCCAAAGCAACAAATAGTTTCTGAAAGATTGAAGTAAGCATGAAGAGACCCAGAACATGGACCAGAGAAAATGGGTTAGCAGGACCTGAGTTCCATCCCATGTGGAAGAAAGAGACAATGTGGCATGTGCATCCCCCCCCACAAATTAAATAAATATATGTAATAAAAATTTTGAAAAAGAAAACTTGTTTAACAAAAGATATCTAGAACACTAATGGAGGTAATTATCCTTAACAAAACTTTCCTTTATATTACTTCTGGCTTTCTGTTTCGTTGCCTGTTACTTGTTTGTTTTCTCCTGTCTCCTCAGTTTTGTCTTCTCAAATAAACAAATGGCTGCTCTGGAGCTCAGTATCACAGAATTTGCTCTTCCCTGTATAGGGCAATTGGTAAGAGAGCACTGAATTAGGAAAAGACTAGCAGTGGTTGGGTCTACTTGCATGGAGCTGAATTAGATAGAACCATGGATTTCCTCATGGAGGCAGCTGAGCTCAAATAGCCCATGCCTTCTAGCTGACCCTACAGACTGTGAGCAGTCTGGGAATCAGACAAAAGTATATAAGCCTTTAACCCAAATTCTCCTGTAGAGCTTTTGGGGACCATGAGAGTTCCCGTATTTCCAGCTCTGGAAATAGAAATGTACAGAAAAGTAGTCACCAAGTCTCCCTCTCTATGAAAGATCAAGTCTTCCTGTTTTTCCATTTCTATGTGTGGGTCTCAAGCCTGTTGAGACTGGAAACAGCAGTCAAAGTAGGGTCCAGCTGAGTGCTGGTGTTTCTGGCCCAGTTGCTCTGTTCTGGGTGCACTAAGGCAATGCATCCTCAGGTCAGCTCAACTAACCAGAATGTCTAAGGAAGCCCTAAAGCAGTTCCCAGGTTTTGGGAACTCCTACTTTATAGCCCCTACATGTCTTTTTAAAAATTTTTTACTTTATTATTTCCATGTGTGTATAATATGGGGGAGGGGCTTGTGCATGTCATGGCACGGAGGTTAGAGAATAACTATGTGGAGGTTGGGCCTCTCCTTCCACCTTTACATGGGTTCTGGGGATCAAACTCAGGCCATTAGGTTTGTCTGGCAAATGCCTTTATGGAATGAGCCATCTCGCCAACCCCCATAGTCTTCTTGTCTTTGGAAGCTAAATCTCATTATTTTGTATGTGTGCAGGTATGCATAACATATGTGTACACATGTATAGAAAACAGAGGAAAACCTCAGGTATCATTCCTCACGCACCATCTGCTTTTGTTCTTCGAGACAGGGTTTCTCACTGGCCTAGAATTCATCAAGTTGGCTAGGCTGGCTGGCCAGCAAGCCTCAGGAATCCACTTGTCTCTGCCTCTGTTGTGATGAGCTTACAAGCATACTACTTCTGGCTTCTTTTCTAAAACTTGAGTTCTGGAGACCTAACTTAGGCAAGCAATTTACTGACTGAACTATCTCTCCAGCCCCTAAATTTCATATGTATGGGGGGTGTATATGTGTGTGAGGGTGAATGTGCCTATGCATGTATACATGGAGGCCAGAGGAAATATCAGGGGTCTTGCTCTATTACTCAAACCTGCAGTTTGTTTTTTGTTGTTTGTTTGTTTGGTTTTTTTTTTTTTTTTGGTCTTTTATTTGAGACAGGGTCTCCTGTAGCCCCACCTGCCCTGGAACTCACTATGTAGACCAGGCTGGCCTTGAACTCACAGAGATCCACCTGCCTCTTGAGAGCTGGGATTAAAGGTGTGCACCACCACGCCCGCTTGTTTTTTTGTTTTTGTTTTTGTTTTTACTGAGACGGGTCTCCCTGTAGCCTCAGCTGGCCTGGAACTTGCTCTGTAGACCAGACTGGCCTCAATCTCACAGAGATTCACCTGCCTCTACCTCCTAAATGCTGGGACTAAAGGCGTGTGCCATCATGTGTGCCACCGCACCCAATCTCGAATTTGTGTTTTCAGATGGGGTCTCTAACTAAATCTGAAGCTCACAGTTTCAGCGAGGCTGGCTGGCTGGTGAGCTCCCAGGACTCATCTGTCTCCACTACAGTGCTGGGGTTACAGGTACACACAGTCATGGCTGAATTTCTGCTGGTGATGTGAACTTGGATAGCAAGCACTCTTACCCACTGAGCCATCCCCCAACCCCTAAATCTCAGCATTAAAGGGGAAAAAACACATTTTCTTACCCAGAGTCTTTCCTAGCTAAAGTTGGGCCTGGGATTGCTAGTTCCTTTCCCAAGTTCTCCAGAGTTTAAGAACCACTGTTGTAGTGTGGAACAACAAAGAAAGAACCACGTTAGGGACTACAGTAGGGTCCAATCATTGTATGAACTTTACCTCATTAATTCAGCAAGTAAGTGCCATATCTACTATGTAAAAAACTGTTGTAGGGGCTGGAGAGATGGCTCAGCAGTTAAGAACAGTGGTTGTTCTTGCAGAAGACCCGGGTTCAAATCCCAGCACCCATATGACAGCTAACAACTGTCTGTAACTCCAGTCCCAGGGGATCCAACAGCCTCTACTGACCTCCATGGGCATTGCACGACATGGGTGCGCTTACCTACATGCAGGCATACTACACATTCACATAAAGTAAAAATAGAATTTTCAAAAAGTTTTAAAGGCTGGGCATGGTGGCACGTGCCTTTAATCCCAGCACTTGGGAGGCAGAGGCAGGCGGATCTCTGTGAGTTCAAGGCCAGCCTGGTCTACACAGTTCCAGGACAGCTGGGGCTACAGGGAGACCCTGCTTCAAAAAGACCAAAAACAAACAAAACAAAAAAAGCTTAAAAAAAAAAGCCGTTGTCACATGAATAGTGAAAACTAGAATTTCTGTGCTCCTTGAAACTTCTAGAACTGGAAAAAATGCTGTCGAAGAAGATCAAACGAATCATTCAGTTGTTCTGCTTTATACCATAAATGTATCTCATTTAACCTTCATGGTTATCCTATAAAGACTCACATTATTATCCCTATTAGACCCAAAAGAAGAAGTTGGATCATGGTAGGTACCCCATATCATACAACTAAGAATGATGTAGGATGGCTCTAAAGTCTTTTATCCATGATCTGATACTCTATTCAAAGAAAAGCATACAGATGATGACCTTGGTAAAAGTGCAGTTGAAATTCCAACTGCCTTCCACCATTTTGAACCTGCCTGTTGTCTGTCTCTAGGAACCAGGATTCCTGACTGCATTTGAGTACAGTGAAAAGAGGAAAATGGTTTTCCATATCACCACTGGGAGCCAGGAATTCGAGTGTGTATCTCACATTTTTTATAGCCACTAAGCACTATTTTTGGATTACCATGTTTCTTTGCCTCTATCTCATCATTATTTTCACTATGATTGATAAAAATAGCTGCTTTTTAAGTGTTTTGTAGTGTTTTTTTTCTCCAAAGTGCAAAGTGATGCTTGTAGGAACAGAATTATATTTCTTTCAAGAAATTCATACTCATAAGTAGTTTCCAGTTAAGCCTTTATTAATTTATAGACTTAAAAAAAATCAGTTTACGGACCAGGCATGGTGGCGTACACCTTTAGTCCCAGCACTCAGGAGGTAGTGGCAGGTGGATCTCTGTGAGTTTGAGGCCAGCCTGGTCTCCATAGGGAGTTCCAGGCCAGCTGGGGCTACAGGGAGACCCTGTCTCAAAAAGACCAGAAAAAAAAAGTTTACATTTAATTTCTTCTCCACTGAAGAAAATTTTATTTCATTTATTTATTTGTTTATTTATTATTTGTCTTTTTGAAGCAGGGTCTCCCTGTAAGCCCCAGCTGTCCTGGAACTCACTATGTAGACCGGCCTGGCCTTGAACTCACAGAAATCTGCCTGCCTCTGCCTCCCAAGTGCTGGGACTACAGGTGTGCGCCACCACGCCCAGCAATTTTATTTCATCTTTTAGGTTTACTTAAATATCACTTATTAGATTGAATATTTTAGAAAAAATAATTCAGTATAGATTTTGTTCTTCTGCAGGGGCATTTTTAGTATCACTTTTTGTTTACTCTTATGAGTCCTAAGATGTATTGTCATTTTACATACAAATGGACCATAATGTGTTTTTCCCAACTATTTCGTCTATGTATTTTTGGACTGCATCTCACTGTATTGGCTGATGCTAAACTTGTGAGCTCAAGTGACCTTCCTGCTTCAGCCTCCCAAATGCCTGGAACCACTGTGCCCAGCTTCATTATTTTATAAAATGTTTGAATCAGGACTCACATATTGTGACCAGTTGATATCTTTTAAGTCTCTTTTAATCTATAAATCTTTTCTCTGACCCCATCTCTTTTTCCCCCCAGAACCTATAATTGTAATTTATTTATGAAAGAAATTAGGTTATTTATTATTTAAAAGTATAACAGGCAGGATTTTCTTTGCTCATTTTTGCT